GGGGGGGGGGGGGGAGACGACACAGGGCACCAGGTGCACACAATCAGCCATAACAGACATGGGGGAAGGGGAACACTTTTCAGAATAAAACCAGCAAACAGAGACAGACAACCTAAAACACAGACATATACACACACTACATACATTTCGCCACCCACAAAGCTACACAATCCGTAAGGGAGGCCGAGATCTAAGGCCCCAAAGATCACCTCCGTTACATGCAAATAACTGCAGATTTTAGTATGTTGAGTTGCACAATCCTCAATTGGTTTTGTTTCCAACATCCTGGAGAAGGATAATAGATTAAGAAAGCTGTGAAGGAAGGAACAACAAATCTAAGAGGTTTTCTTTACATGATCCTTCACTATTTGTATATGAATATATTTTTTTTAAAGAGAGAGAGAGTAGGTTTTATAAAAAAGAATGTACTGTAGGACTGCCAAGCCTGTGAACATTTCTCGAAATATAAAAAAAACATTTTACAAGGGTATTTAAAAATAATATGACAAACTATTCATATGTTTTTTAAAGGTTACTTTTTCAAATTTGTGTTCCAATTAAATAACTCCCTGACGGATTCATTCCACAATTATGTCTAAAATGTCTTGTATAATGTTTGTGAGAATATTGTGTAATCAGGCCTCAGTGCGTATCATTCAGTGCACACACCATACCAAGAATGCAGAGCTACATCCACATTAGTCAACCACCTCTCTCACACGTTTATTCCACGACAATTACTCAGTGACTCCATTACGTCACACCACAGTCCCTCTCAGACGCTGTAGGAAGGTTTCAGGACTCATTATGCTAGGTATGTGCACAAAAAGATGTGTTGTCCTTTACAGACAACATGATGATTCGAAATAGCAACTTTATGACCTATACTGAGACAGAGACATCCTAACCTTTCCCTCTGTGTTTCCCAGAGTCTCAGACTTCCTGTGTGACTGAGGAGCTGACATGTTGGACAAATTCAAAGAGAGCTTCCTGCTGCAGGTCCTGACTCTGGTCCTGCTCGGCCCGGCCTGCGAAGCCTCTTCTCTGGGCCTGACGGTCCATGTTGAGCCACTGGAAAGCGATGGAGGGAATACGGTGAGCAATGTTTTCTCTCCCCATGAAAATGTTTATGTTACGATGTCTTGAAGTCCAAAATGATTTGGCCCTTGTCACACATTTCTATATTTTTGAAATTATTATTATTTATTAACTTATTATTGAAGTAATCATTTCCTCTCCACATCATTCTGTTATTTGTCCCTAAAAAACATACATTATCAGTGATCCAAACGAGAAACTCTTTAGGTATTGCTCACAATTTCTCTTCTCACAAACGCTTAAGAGATTAATTTAGAGAGGAAAAAAGTATTCACTTTGCAAATGTTTAAAAAAAGAATCCCTCAATCTTTCTTACTGACCCCCTACTTTTACTCTGAAGAACCACTACCTTACCGTGGTAGAGAGGTTTGTGTACCCTGATGAACCTGGGGGCTGTGTTGTCTGGAACCTTGTGTTCCTGGTAGGGTCTCCCATGGCAAATTGGTCTCAGGCAAGGGGCCAGACTAAGATTGGTTCACAAGACCTCATGAAAGACGACACACGAAGTGAGGATACCCGGCCCGGAGGAAGCCCGGGGTCCCCTTCGGGAGCCAAGCCCAGAAGGAGGACTCGTCGGCGAGCGTCTGGTAGCCGGGCTTGCCACGGAGCCCGAAAAGGCAACGTGGGCAACATCGCCGCTTCTCCGTCCCGCGGGCCCACCACCTGCGGGAAACAGTGATGGGGTCGGGTACACTGCCAGAAGGGTGGCAGTGAAAGCAGAGGGTCTCGACGGACCAGACCCGGGCGACAGAAGCTGGCTTTGGGGACGTGGAACGTCACCTCTCTGGGGGGGAAGGAGCCGGAGCTTGTGCGGGAGGTGGAGCGTTACTGGTAACGCTCCACCTCCCGCACAAGCTCCGGCTCCTTCCCCCCCAGAGAGGTGACGTTCCACGTCCCCAAAGCCAGCTTCTGTCGCCCGGGTCTGGTCCGTCNTATCCATTCCTCATTTCGCTCAATTTAACACTGTCTTTCGTGCTCGGATTCAGTGAGAACAGCACCATCTGGTGGCCTGAAATATGTACTACAGCGTCTCCAGCGCTTTCGAACGGCAATGTACGTGGCTGTCTCCTCCTGATTGGTGGAGTTGGCCCAATAGCCGTAGCGCAACTTCTGTGACGACATAAAAGTGTTCAAATCTGGATCAGTCTGTATCAGATCCATTGCAGCCCCTTTTTAAGAGATTTGGGTATGGAGGAAAATAGACAGGGTTGTGTTTTCTGACACTTGGTGAGTTCCCTGGAACACAGGGGACACATATTCATGTATAAAAGACGTACAAAAGTGCATTTTGCATGATAGGTCCCCTTTAAGTAAACTACCTCAACAAATACTTAAGTTCAGTAATTCAGTAAATGTGCTTAGATACTTTCCACCACTAAAAGTAACCTTTCGTCATTTGAAAGAGATGTAAGAGTCTTCCACAAGAGGGAGCTTTAAAGCCAAACATCACAGAGGGACGCAGCCAGCGGCCACTTCAAACCACAGGGACAAACACACAGTGAGCGAATTTACCAGAGGATTAGTGTGAAGAGAGTCTGATTATACTCTGTCAATAGTTATCTTTCATCCTCGTGCAGCTCATAACTTTAGTGGTCACGGGGTGGATGTTTGGACAGAGGAGCTGATCCTGAGTCTGTGAATCATCTCCATCATAAACACCAGATTATCAGACAGTGAAGGCCACCACACAACCAGAGGCATATCTGACTTCCTAAAGCTGACGTAATGGCGCATGATTTCAACTTTTTTTTAGAGTAAACTATAATGGATGTTTCACTGATGGCCAGATTTACGTCATCCTTTATTCAAACTGACCCTCATCATCTCAGTGTGATCTAACATCTGAATTTATCCTGCTTTCATTCATACATAATCTCTGTCTCTATCTCTCTCACACACACACACACACACACACACACACACACACACACACACACACACACACACACAACACACACACACACACAACACACACACACACACACACACACAGCAGGGGGGCGGCTGTTGATCTCTCAGCTATTTTTTCTGCTCTAGCACTCAGATGCCCAGCGTGTGGCATATCATTACCTGTATTTAAATCTCTCACCAAAACACACCTGAACATTAATACCTTATTCTCTACATTTCTCCTTTAGAGTTGGCAATGACCAGGAAATATGTTAAAATGTATTTTTTGACGAGATTCGCCTATTTCAAAGACTTTCCTCTCCATGCAGGTTGGCAACAGAAAACTTTCACATTTCTGTTTCCAACTGCTACCTCTCTTAAATTATGGCAACAGCTCTGCACCTTTAAAGTGACTCTATCATGCTATATTTGAATAATAATATTGTAGGCCCATACCTATATAAATGCATGCCATCTGTTTGGTGTTTTGAAAAAGCTTCAACAGACATGTTTTATATAGGTATGCACTACAATATATTATTCAAATATGCATGATAGGTCCACTTTAAAGTGGCCCAGAGCTGTGCCACTAATTTAAGAGAGGTAGCATTGAACAGAAATGTGCAAAGTTTCCTGTTTGCAACCTGCATGGAGAGGAAAGTCTTTGAAATAGCCAATCTGTCAAAAAAAAAAAAAAATACCATTTTAAACATATTCCTGGATCATTGCCACTCTAAAGGAGAAATGTAGAGAATTAAGGTAGTTAATGTTCAGGTGTGTTTTGGTGAGAGATTTTAAAACAGTGTAATGATATCAAACACAGCGGGCCATCGAGCTGCTAGAGCAGAAAAAAATAGCTGAGGATCCAACAGCCCCCCCCTGTGTGTGTGTGTGTGTGTGTGTGTGTGTGTGTGTGTGTGTGTGTGTGTGTGTGTGTGTGTGTGTGAGAGAGATAGAGACAGAGATTATGTATGAATGAAAGCAGGATAAATTCAGATGTTAGATCACACTGAGATGATGAGGGTCAGTTTGAATAAAGGATGACGTAAATCTGGCCATCAGTGAAACATCCATTATAGTTTACTCTAAAAAAAAGTTGAAATCATGCGCCATTACGTCAGCTTTAGGAAGTCAGATATGCCTCTGGTTGTGTGGTGGCCTTCACTGTCTGATAATCTGGTGTTTATGATGGAGATGATTCACAGACTCAGGATCAGCTCCTCTGTCCAAACATCCACCCCGTGACCACTAAAGTTATGAGCTGCACGAGGATGAAAGATAACTATTGACAGAGTATAATCAGACTCTCTTCACACTAATCCTCTGGTAAATTCGCTCACTGTGTGTTTGTCCCTGTGGTTTGAAGTGGCCGCTGGCTGCGTCCCTCTGTGATGTTTGGCTTTAAAGCTCCCTCTTGTGGAAGACTCTTACATCTCTTTCAAATGACGAAAGGTTACTTTTAGTGGTGGAAAGTATCTAAGCACATTTACTGAATTACTGAACTTAAGTATTTGTTGAGGTAGTTTACTTAAAGGGGACCTATCATGCAAAATGCACTTTTGTACGTCTTTTATACATGAATATGTGTCCCCTGTGTTCCAGGGAACTCACCAAGTGTCAGAAAACACAACCCTGTCTATTTTCCTCCATACCCAAATCTCTTAAAAAGGGGCTGCAATGGATCTGATACAGACTGATCCAGATTTGAACACTTTTATGTCGTCACAGAAGTTGCGCTACGGCTATTGGGCCAACTCCACCAATCAGGAGGAGACAGCCACGTACATTGCCGTTCGAAAGCGCTGGAGACGCTGTAGTACATATTTCAGGCCACCAGATGGTGCTGTTCTCACTGAATCCGAGCACGAAAGACAGTGTTAAATTGAGCGAAATGAGGAATGGATAAAATGCATGATCTGCTTGGTATTTTGAAACATAAAAAGTATAAATATGCCTTATATAGGTATGGTCCTACACTATATTATTCAAATATAGCATGATAGGTCCACTCTAAGTATTAATATCTCATGTTACTTTATTTTTCTACTCCACTAACATTTGGAGGCACAAGTTGTATGTTTTACTCCATTACATTTATCTGACAGCTTTGAATTGTATTTATTTCTCTGTTCATTGATGAAAAATGAAATCAACTAATGAATTAAGATGTACTATTATGGATAACTGGCAGTAAAAAAGTTCGATACAGTTAGCTCCTTTAGCTGCTACATTGAATTAAAACACATCATTGAGTCACTCCATGTCGGCATCGGTGACTCAAGTAATGAATTACGGCCATTAAATTAGATTAGATGGTTTGATCCAAAGCAGCATGTAAACAAAGCATTGCACATTAATTAAATAAAAATGATTAATAGAAAAAAATATATACATATCAACAGTGAAATATGTATAAATAAATACACAACATTAACACATCGATTGAAGTCAGTGTACAGAATGATTGGCATAACGTAACGTTGGTAAATATAGTACCAGATCTATTCAGTTGTTTGAACTTAAGGCTGTTAACATGCTTACCTCTGCTCTGAATACCCCGTACAATCCGATGACATCTTTGTAACGCCAGACAATACATGGCATGAAGACCTTGTGCAATAGGCCAGGTGCAGGTACTGTACTACACTGATAAAACTGTGACAAATCTACAGTTACAACAACGTCTGGCTTCTTGTACTTTCAGACAAAGAAGCAGCGGCAACACAACGGAAGATTGATGGCACAACAACTTTTGGTGTCTCAAAGAAAAACATCGTCACCACATAGTTTACACTGCGGAAGACAAATGCCTTCCCCGGGCTAAAAGGTCAGAGGTGCTACTGAGTGCTCAAATATGCAGCCGAGTATCTGTGCAAGGAGTGCTCAGGGGACAAAATAGGAAGGAAATGTCATCGTTTTCAACTGAGAGCAATCATGTGGGTTGTCTCAGAATGAGGGCAGAGGAAGATGGCTTTGTTTGGCTCCTGTCATCGAGCTGCATCTGTGTGTATGATGACAACTAAACATGTGTCTGATGAAGTTTTGAAGTGATATTAAGGTGACAAACAGTGGAATCACAGAGTTGATATAATGTGGAAGCTTCAAACCTTTTCTTTGCTGTACTGTGAGGAAATCCACAATGGTTTTAAATAAATCGGAAGAAAAACTGTACCCAGACAGAGGGATAAAAGCCTCCTGTTCTCAACATAGTTTTGCAGACAGACGGTCACAGACAAAGAACTCAAGGTGAAACGTATCGTACGGAGGATCTTAATGCTGTGTTGACAAGACAGCAGCTAATGCTTAAGAGGAACATCAGTAGATCTTAAATAGACGGCTTTTTAAAGTAACGATCCACAACACAGCACAGGGAAATATGAGTCAGTGCAGCTTTAAATACATGTATTTCAGTCTCACACACAGAAAGCACTTAACAGAAATAATGTGATTTCAGAAGGTTGAATTGGTGTACAGTTGTAAATATGCAGTGGGGTTTATTTGTAAATCATTTTGTATAATCACACAGATTCTGTGTTTTATATGAAGTAATTCTGTGTTCTTCATTTGATTGAATGTTCAATACCTGACAAGGTCGGAGATCAGTGGGTGGAACCTCTGAAGTGTGGTCGCTGTGCTCAGGAGATTATTGTTGTGAGGATTTCCCCCCCTATATATTGTGTCCCTCACGTTTCCTCTTCCCTTTTTGTAAATGTTCCATGTGAGAGGAGTCACTGTGAGGGAAAGGTAATATAAGACTGATTGTTGTATCTTTTGTCAGATTGTCAGTAATAAAACGGAGATCGTCAAAACTGTACGGTGGCTCGGGTCATCCATGAACAATCGTTATTTTGGTTTTTAGCGAATAGTTAGACGATTATTGGCGCCGTCGTGGTACTACGACGAAAATTAGATTGTATCGTGTAAACCGAGTGATGTGCGTGACTTTGAAGGTGAATTCCTTTATAAAAATAGGCGCATTGGTGGAACTAGGTATATGGAGTTTGATGCTTGTTAGATTGGATTCGTCTTAGAGACTGAGGTTCTAATCCTTAAATAATGGTCATATTTTAGTTCAACATAAGATACAGTACGTATATCCACAGAGTTATACATGCAGATAGGAAGTTATATTTGCTCTGCTGTTTATAGTTATTGAAGTATAAACCTTGTTATACTTTGAATATTTCACAATATTTATACTTGTCAATATATATTAGTCATCAAATATGGGTATAATTTATTGATTACGTCGGTGAGTGTATTGTAACATTTATCTGGTTCAGACAAACGTGCGGCCCCTCCTATATGTCGACAAGTGTACATGCTTTTGTTTGTTTTTTGGGCCTCACGTATCGTATCTTGGACGAAAGATATTAGTATCTGGGTTGTTTTTTGTTGAGATGTGGTGTACACTTTTGATATGTACTTCAATCCCTTGCATTTAAGCTAACTGCTGTGTATAGTGTATTATATCCAATGCACAGGGTCTGCATTATAATAGCCTCAGTTGTGACGCCTACCTATTACAGAGGTTTAATATCAAAGTTATGTTATCAATTTACCTAAATACAAGAGCAGGAAATAGACGAGAGGTGAGATTTGACAACAGACGTAAACGCACACACACACACACAGCACACACCAACACACACACACACACACACCACACACACACACCACACAGCACACACCCACACACACACACACACACACACACACACACACACACACACACACACGACACACACACACACACACACACACACACAACACACACACACACCACAACACACAAATACTCATTTCCCCCACAGTCTCACGACACCAGACCAGCATGGAATGACCCCGTCCGTGATTACTGAAACCTGTGTAAACTCCGGCCGAGGACTTTGTCTGTGTTGAGTAACCGAGTGCACAAACAAATAAACCAACAAAGAGCACCGAGTAGGACTGAAAGAGGTCCTCTTTCTCCCCCAAATGACCGTCACAGACACGAAGGAGCCCCTCAAGTACGAAGTAAAACTTTACGTACTTACATCCCATGACTATGTGTACTTAGGAAGGACACGGGAGACGGGACGACTGAGGAGGTCGAAGGAACCGGGTGGTTGGTGTGTGGTTCAGAGGTACACTAGACGAAGTTACACTACTTACACAACTTTGGCCACAGACGCAACANAAAAGTTGTTAGTAGCCTTAATGGCCTACACAGTGGTTATGCTATACCACATTGCCCTTCACTGGATGTATAATGAGCTGCACTAAACCACATTTTAGCATTTAAAATACCTAGCCATTCTTTTGCGGTTATTTTGATGAAAGTAACTCAAAAGTGATATAAAAGTAGTGTAACTCATTACATTTCAGAGACAGTAATATTGTAATGTAACTTATTACTTTAAAAGACAGTAATAAGTAATATGTAATATATTACATTTTGGAAATAACTTGCCCAACACTGCCAGGGAGTTACTGTGGGAGGTGCTGCAGGAGTATGGGGTGAGGTGGTCTCTACTCAGGGCCATCCAATCTCTGTTCTCCCAAAGCGAGAGCTGTGTCCGGGTCCTCGGCAGTAATTCGGACCCATTTCCGGTGAGGGTTGGCCTCCGCCTGGGCTGCGCTTTGTCACCAATCCTGTTTGTAATATACATGGATAGAATCTCGAGGCGTAGTCGTGGGGGAGGGGGTCTGCAGTTTGGTGGACTAAGGATTGCACCACTGCTTTTTGCAGATGATGTTGTTTTAATGGCTTCATCGGTCTGCGACCTTCAGCTCTCACTGGATCGGTTCGCAACCGAGTGTGAAGGGGCTTGCAGGTTCTTAGTCCTTCAATCAGTCGTAAAAATCTGTCTCTTCCCCTAAAAGCCTTGTCATTGTGTCTCTTTTCCCCCTGCAGGTGCGGGCTCATTTCACCGCCATCGTTCCCAATCCCTGCCCAGCGCTGTCTGGACTGTGCTCTGACGGGGAGGAGGACTGTCTGGTCTACCCCACCTCGCTACCTTTCACTGGCACTAAACCAAACTCTGGCTGGTGCGTCCGCCAGTGGCAGAAGACCGTCCTCAGTGATTACAACGCCACCATAGATTTAGGGTATACCTTCATTCACTGTCTGGACCTTTCACCTAAAGCAAAGCATCATTGTTTTTCATACATTTTCTTAGCTGCTCCATTATTAATTTATAATGTTTCTTCTTGCTGTTGTGCAATGTTTTGGGGTTACATGTGCTCATGAATTCAAGTTAACAGTTATTACACGGAGGACGTTTTTGTTCTCATGTTTTGGGCCTTCTGTTTTGCATGTATATGTATACATTATAATATTTAATATATATAATATTTTCAATGAAATAGACTGTTTGGGTTAACAGAAGTAGGCCAATTTATTATTTGTCTCAAGAATAATATTAAGAATAAGAATAATATATAAATACATTTATAAAAATAAACAAATGTTCTTATAGTCTTCATGCTGCATCATTATGATGCTAATTATACAATCCAAGTGAAAAGGTGATTTATTTTTTATATTTGTAATATTAATTTTATAATCACTGTCACTCACTGTGACGTGTGTCTCATTGTTTCCCCCACCATGGTTTCCATTGCTTTTATCTTACATTCCTGTTTGAGTCCTGCCTCAAGGTATATTCAGTCTATCTGCTACTACTCCTCCATGTTCTCAGTGGTACTGTGTTCTTTGTATTTCATAGATTGTATTTAATGTGATGATATGTTCTGATAATTCTCCATTATTTTTCATAATTCCTTAGATCCAACACACAATTTTATGTTTCGATAAAAGCAAGCCCAGTAATCAGAGCAAACAACGGAAAACTCAACCAACCGGCTTTTGTCGCTCTCCCTCCTCCGCTAAGGTATTACACACACACACACACACACACACACACACACACACACACACACACACACACACACACACACACACACACACACACACACACACACACACACACGCACGACGAC